TGAAGGTGGCATTGAAGCTTCTTTCAAAAATGTTCTGATTATGAAAGTTCTGAACTGCTGCCACTACTTCTTTGCTTACTATTTCCCAGCAATTGGTGAAGAATGCCATGGTGAATCCATCCGGCCCAGGTGCCTTGTCCCTCGCACATGCCATCACACATTCTTTGATCTCAGCCTCACTAAATTGACTTTCTAGCATTAAGTTCTCTTCTTCGCTGATAACAACACCTGATCTATGGTTGAATTGAGGTCTCCATATCTCTGATTCTGTATACAACTTCTGATAAAATTTGACAATCTCCTCCCTGATCACTAATGAGTCCCATGTACACTCACCATCCACCAGAAGTTTGTCTATATTATTATATCTTTTGTGACAGTTTGCAGTTCTGTGAAAAAACTGTGTTTTTGTCACCTTCTTTCAACCATATAACTCTAGACCTTTGTGGGAGTAGTCTTGAGCACTGAATTGGGGACACGAGTTCATATTAACTCACATCTCCATAAAAACCATGTAGCCAACATGGGAATTAATGGGTCATACTTTTTAGATGATCACGTAAAGTTAAGCTAGTGGATCCACTTGGTCAAGTTAGCTTCCTATATCACGGCAAGGTATAGGATGGTCCTTGGGCAACGTGAGGTAAAACGTTGTATCACCACTTAGTTTCATAGTGGTGGTTGTCGGTTAGAGAAACTCCCACAGCAGTAGAAAATGCATGGTTACTCGAGAAGTTCTGCTTAGTGTGGATGGGGGTATGGGACTTCATTCATGCATTGCACAAGTAGACTTTGAGAGGAAGCATGGTATTTTTATGATATTATAAATATGATTTTTACGTCATGTTTTAATAGTTTTACAAGCTTTATATATTGCATGTGTCTTATTGCTTTATATATTGAGTTCATTTATTCATGAGTTGAACAGAGCCAAGGTAAGAGTTCCTTTGTACTCCTTTCAAGCTTAAGTTGTGGTTTAGCTTTCCAGCTCGCATACTCGTACATTCAATGTACTGATACCAGTTGGCCTGCATCTTATGACGATGCAGACGCAGGTACCCAAGGTCAGCATCCAGCACGCCGTTGATCCAGCTGAGCACTCCAGAGTCAGTGGTGTGCCTCTTTGTGTTCCGAAGGACTCGATTATGTTGTTCTCTTAGTTTTGTTTTATTAGGATGTTGCGGGGTCTGTCCCAACATCCATCTCAGTATTATAGAGGCTTCATAGACAGTCAGTCAGTTAGTTTCGAGTCTCTCATCTATGTATATATGTAAATATTCTATTTTGAGACTCGAGTTGCCTTTTTGGGCCAGATTTTATCAGTTGGGTTGTTTTATAACCTTTCATGGCATTGAGTTGTGATGTTGAGTTACGCATGAATGGAGTGATTTAGAAGAATTAAGGAGGATAATTCCTCAACAATGTGATGTTAAGGGTAATTGTCAAATTGGCCTCTTTCGTAATAAACATATCCTCATTCGTTTGACAAAACATGAGGATACATGAATTTACATCTAGATATAGACACAAGTGTATATACAGTTACACATTACTGGATAATATCTAGTACTTTTTAGTAAGAGGTTCATTTATGCAATAATACTAGAAGGTTCAAGAGGTGCCTTAATTGTTTTAGAAGCGCTTGACCGTTGTGGGAAAGACATTACAATCTAGCAGACTATACAAGTACCTCAATGAGCAAGGACATTCAGTTGAATCAAGGAGATTCAAATGATTTCTTCTTATCTTGCTAACAAGGCGCAGTTGGATGACCATGCTATCCATCTTCTCTTCAGCGCAAATCGTTGGGAGAAGAGGTATTTCAGTTCATATGACCTAATTTGTATAGCAATAATGTATTTTGTGAAAGAGATGCAAAGAGTGCCCGATAGACAGAAGTCATCTATTTGTAATAAGTTAATAGTTACGCATATAGTATTTAGCCATAGATTGAAAGAGAAACTAAGTGGCATTGAAATTTTCTCTGCTACTGTTAATTTTAAGTAACTACTTGACCAGTTCTCCACATTAATTGTTATTTTCTCAGGACAATATGGACATAACAAACTGAGAAAAAATAACAATATGATTTTCTGGTCTTCAACTATCTTAGGTTGTTGCCATGGGAGCTTTTGTTTAGCGATAAGAACACAACACGTGACATGTGTGTTAGGCGCATGTCATGGCTCAACCCTGCTCCGTGGTATTTGCGTTGGGAAGAAGATAGAGGGGTGGGTCACTTGGAGTTTCAAACGTGTGTGTTGACTGCACTCGGGCCAGAATCCCACAGGGGTGAAAAATAATGTTAGGTTGTGGAAATATTTTCATCAAACTCACCTTCTCCTGCAACTAATTCAGAACCTTTTTCTTAGAATATGGTGTGATCTTCTGACCAAAATAGAAGTGTTAGTATCTTTCACCTGCTTCTTTCTTTTCTATTCCTTTGAATTAAGTACCAGTCTTCATTCTTATTTACCAACATGGCAATGAATTTTACCATCATTATCTGGATAGTTTTACCTTGTTTGGCAGCCAACAATTTTACTTCCATGTTTAACTGTTCATGTAAAATTTTCAGTCAAATCACTTGGTGTTATCGTGAACGTTAACCTTCTATTAAGCTTTCTTTTGCATTTAGGTTGTTCTAAATTTTCTTTGCAATAATGCAATGTGTTAATGGAGGACAAGCTGAGGAATGGAACTATTCTCATTGTTGATCGCTATCTTATTTTGGAGTAGCATTCTCATCTGCCAAGGGACTTGATATTGAATAGTGTAAGGTGAAATCATGTCTTACTTCCTCAATATGCTGTTTTGTTTCTCAGACAAGTTTTAGTAATGAGATTTTTTACCGTAGGCTCCAGAGATAGGGTTGTTAGCTCTGGATCTGGTTGTATACCTTGACATATCACCTGAGGTATCTATTATTGTTTTTCTTCAATCGTCTCTAGTTAAAAGAGATAGTGTGTGAATAGCAATTTTTACAATTGAAATCTTAAGTTTGGATAGATGTGGATTTCTTAAGCAATCTCCATTCCTGTCATATATGACACTTTTTAATCCAGGATTAAGCTGTATAATTTCAGTTGGTATTTCTAGTTGTTTGTCATTGCCTTGTTAGATATAGATTCTTTTTCATCAGTCATTTTTAATCTGGAAGAGTTACACCTATTGTTGATTTGATCTTGAAATAACCAGAAAGCTGGTGAGAGAGGAGGTTATGGAGGTGAGAGATATGAGCCAGCAACAGCAGCTTGAGTAAGTCTTATTTGGCTCTTCATGATTCCTCATGGAAGGTAGTTTTCTTCCCTTCTTTTCCCCGGTGCCTCAAGGGTGCTGGTTTAATTAAAAATCTACATAGCAAGTATCTGATACTAAGCATAGTTCTCAACTCAGTAGTTCTCTTTGAGTTTGTTTGGATTTCTGGTCAATTTACATGCATGTCCACTAAATCAGTATGGTAATTAAGGTTTTTTAATAATGTATTGTTTATTTTAGGTTATCGATGTGATCCTTCCTCTTGAAGATACAGAGAAAAAGCTGAGAGAAATTGTTTGACTGTATGACAATATGCCAAAAAGGAAGACCGTTGTCTCAGTCAAGTGTGCAGAATGTCATACATGAATCTGCAACTCCGTACGTGTAACATGATCTTCTTTTATTTTGCGTTTGCCATATATTTTATCTTAGAGATTTCTTTGTCAGGGCAGAAGTACTTTATGTCTTGTCGATTCTTGTATATATACCAGCTTGTTGTGAGTTTTGATTATCTCCACATTTTGTGGAGTGTATCTGGATTAAGTGGTGAATGTTATGGAATCACCTCAGATTTTTTTCTTTCTGTTAATTCAAATTTGCATGTTTGAAAATGTGACTTTTCTGATATAATAACACTAGTAGTTGAGTGGTCATGTTAAAAAATCAACTCTGATAATAATTTGAAATGGGACTACTCCTGCCTGTTGCTTTTGGCAACAAAACTAGAAGGGTGTTTGTGAGCTTTGTTGTTCAGCATTATTTTCAATCTGAAAGAGGTCTCTGTAATTGTATTTTCATAAAATTAGTAGAGAAAAACTGTGACAATCATATAGTAATAATTATAGAAACCCTCGCTGAGCAGTGGTACAGTTTTCATTTGATGAATGAAGTTTGCCTGACAGTAGACAGTACTCACAGTAGATTGGAGTTCCAGTCGTGTAGAAATAGAGACAATTTTGAGCTTCCTACGAGGGGGTGGCGCCTAATTTTTTTTACGAAAGAAGAAAATGAACAAATATAGAGAGAAAAAGTTGTCAAAAAAGGAACCTCAAGTTTTCATCAAATACATTTCCTCTAACTGTCTATTTTGCTCTTTTGAAAAGGTCTACTGAAAGGGCTGAATAAGCAAAGCTCACAAAAAGCATCAAGCTGATTGTGTTTCACTATCTGATTCAAACATAAAAATTGTGAAGAACATCAATCTATATATGAAATTTCACAAGAGGGAAAACTAGCAAGGATCGATATGCATGGATCCTGTTACGTGATTAAGGTAATTAGCCTCATTGGCAGAAGCGAAAAAGATTACAGGAACTGTTAGCCGTAATCATCTATTCACATAGTCTGTCTAATTGCCATGCTTCGAAATATATTCACATCACAGTTTTCCGCCCCTAAGAAGTAAGTATATTTTATTCATGAACCAAGTATTCTCAATGAGTCAAGCTGGACAACATTTTCTGTTAAAAATGGCTTACCACCCTGTACACGAAAGGTGTCAAACAGTGGGCATATAGGGGAAGAGTGGTTTATAGAGTGGACAAGTCTTTCCCCTTGCATTTCTTTAAAGCTGTTGTCATGTTTCAAACATGTAAGATGTGACCTACATGTCACCAATTAAGCAACTCTGTCATTGTGTGTGTCAACAACTCCCTCACAATTTTTGCTGCTAAGAACTTAGATATTTATACACCAGAGCTCGAATTTTAGAGAGCATTATAGAACAAATTGAACACTTTGCTTGTGTTAAAATAGTCCATATAGAACAAATAGAAGAACTACTACCATGTTACTCTGAGGACTAGAGTTTATTCAATAAAATGCACAAGAAAGAATACAAGTGATTTGCGGATCATAGTAAGTAAAGCCTGTGAGCATATATTTGCAGAACTTCTATTAACAGATAAAGTGTCAAAAGCCAAAAGGTTTACTTCATGACTTATCTATACATCTTTGACACAAAGTAGTATTATGCTTTTAGTCCTTTCTGGGTAATGACATCTCATCTCTTGCCATGCTGCTGCTTTGTAGTTGCTCCAGTACTGCTTTCATTCCAGTGAGATACTCCACTAGCCCTTTGAAGTAGTTGGTTAGCAAAAAATAAAGCATGAAAAAAATATGTTTTTACTCAATGACAACAATATACCCTGTGTAATTGCACAAGTGGGGTTTGGGAAGGGTTGTGTGTACGCAGCCTTAGACCTACCTTGTGAAGGTAGATAGGCTGTTTCCAATAGACCCTCGGCTCAGGTAAAGCATATCAAAATCAAAATCAGTAAGAAAAGGAAATACAATAGCGAAGAAACCGTATAGAAACAATGGAGAAAGGAACAATATATAGCAGCAACAAACAATACTATAACCAAAACGAAGAAAACAACTAGAAGTAAAATTGAAGAATAAGATAGTAGGATAGTACTAATAATAACACTAATAAGGGAAACTAGACCATGCTCAACTATTTGCTATTTAACTCAATGACATGCACAGTAGATAATTCCCCTAAAGACCTAAACAATTAAGAAATTTACATGTATCTGGGGTATTTCTTTCCGATTAGGTGACAACCAAAGGAACATATTACTCAGTTTGCATTGCTTTACTAATTAAAGTCTGAAGAGAATTACCATTTACATAGTTTCGACAGTCGTGATGGTTAATCCTCAAGTCAGTATCCCATCCTTTGTTGAATCTGTTTGCCGCATCCATTGCATCAGTCTCTGAGTAGCCAACAAACCAACACTTCCTTTTAGGCAGCTTCTTCAGTGTCCTTGTAAGAACAACTCCTGTCATGGAATAAACTAGTTTGAAGACGTGAATTGCTTAGGAGATGACTTTCGATATGAACTTATAATGGTTAAGAGACGGGAAAAGTTTTTTTTTTTTTTTTTTTTACTTCCATACAACTTTGATCATCAAAGTTAAGTGCTCATTTCTTATTGAATGATGACCATAACAGGCGTCAGTTGAAACCAAAGGAAATTATGAACAAAGGTCATACTTATTATGAAGAAGTACGACTAGAAATTGACACCTATGATTTTCAATATAAAAGAGAGACACGAGTTTGGATATATTACTGATTCAGAAATTGACTAAGTCTCACAGATTCAACATCTAAATGAATTTAAGGTACGAACTAGGATAAGCTGCAAAGTTAAGATAAAACAGTAATCTATCCATTTCTCCTGTATAGATTTGGAGAACAGTTCAAGTTGCCGAAGCATCGTAGATGGGGTGAAGTATATAGTTTGAGTAAGATTCTGGGACTTGGTGATGGTCTATATAGAAGATATAAAGATAGTTCAAGTTCACAGATAACTTTTGTGCTTTTCCTGTGAGTTTGACAAAACAATGACTCACTGATGCATCATAGCATTACTCATTTGCCATCTCCTTTCTTTGTTACTATATTTCTTAGAATAATTATACAATTTTTGCACAAGGTTAGGACATTTATCATATATATAAATATTTATTTTTCCATTTCACCTTTCTTCTAGTATCAGTACTATTAGAAAATCACAAATTTCTGATGAATGTCCCTATCAGAATTGCCTCATCGGTAAGAAATCTCCAACTGAAAATCTTTGGAAAATGTTACCAATGAGCCAAACTCTGATGGATTTAGTCAAAAATGACTTGAGTAGCAATGACTCTCAAACTTTAAGAGGAACTAAAAGGTCTGACCTGGTACATTTCTGCCAGATAGAGCTGCAACAGCTACAGAAATGCTTTCCGGATCTTGAGGTTGGAAATCATATACTAAAACCTAAACACACAGATTAGTAACCCTGTTAAGACTTTTTAAAAATTCTTTTTCCGTTTAATCATTAGAAATTTGAAAGTCTCTATAGTGGATTCACTAAGGTAATTAACAATGAATGAGATTATTATACATGAATTACTTATTTTTAAAAGGGACTCCTTTTTCTTTAAATAGTTTAATCCCTCTTTGCTAATACACACATTCTCATTCCATGTTCTATGTGTATACTCATCTGATTATGATGATTTATAGTCACACACACTTATTTTAGAGCACAATATTTCAAAAGTTTTCATTCTTAAACATAGTGCCCAATCAAACTACATCATATAAATTGGAACAGATAGAGTAATTAACCTTTTCTGTATACCGCCAACCAAAAACACCATTAGCTCATAAAAACATTATCTCTACCCAACCCGCCTAATACCTACCGAGTTATTGTTCTCAGCCTATTTTGACCGTCCAAATTCAGCCCAAATCGCGCATTTGAAACCCCTAATTTAGAGGACAAAATGCAGGAGGAAAAAAAAGGAAAAGAAATAAAACCTGAGAGTGAAGGGAGGAGGAGGGGTTGATAATGACCAGGAAATGCTGCAAATCCCAGAAATTGAGAGAGTAAGCAGTAGACATGAGCAACTGGGCAGGTCCTTTTGTGGCTCTCAAAGGCACAGCTGCTACGTATACTTCATCTCTTCTGCTACTTCCTATTCCTATGGATTTCGCCAATGACATCGATAGCATTTCCCTCTTCTTCTTCTTTCCTTTTGTGTGGCTGATGACAGTTGTTTCAATCTACACCATTATATTTTCCTCAAATTACGACTTTTCTTCTCAGCTGCTACTCCCTCCTTTCTAATTTATAAATATAATATACTACTAATTTAAATTGACATAGAATTAGAAAAATGTTTTTTTTTTAAAAAATTATAGTTTAAAATAAGGCATAAATGTTTGTATAGTTATAAATTATTTTATTAAAACTAAAATAAATATTTTAAAGTTAAATTGTTACTCCCTCCATCCAAATTTATATGATTTTTTTTGTTTTGACACGAAATTTAAGAAAGAAGAATTTTTGAAACTTGTGGTTTAAAATACTCCATTTGTTCCATATTAATTGAATTTGTGGGGGCAATGCGCACTTATTAAGAAGAACATTCATAATTTATAGGGGAAATTACGCAGATAAACAAACATATACTAGTTAATTAACTAGCATATCTATAGTTTGAATTAATACTCGCATCTTAATTTTAGTTGTAATTACGTCACCTCTCTCCTCTCTCCCTCTCTCTCGCCTTTCTCCTCTTTTATACATACACAAATACAAATTATACATATACATATATAATTATATGACAGATATATAAATACAATTAGCCTTTCTCCACTCTCTACCCTCTCTCACTAACCTCTCTCCTCCTCCTTCTAATCTCGCTCGTAAGATATACAATTACATATGTCTACCACTTACATATATACAATTAGTTGACAAATATATATAATTTGACAAATATACATATACATTTCATCTCTCTGCCCTCTCTCCTCCCTTTCCAATCTCGATCTTCTCTCTATTCCCTCTAACATGTAGCTATGAATCGTAATTAGCAAACAATAGCTATGGAGCATAATTAAGTTATTTTTGAGTGGCTATATGCGAAAGTTCCTCTAATTTATACCATATTCAATATTGTTCTTCGTGAAATCATAAGTGTAACTTTATTAGTAGAACAATTTATCTCCTACAAAATATCAAACTTCATTAAAGGAAATGGAAAATATGGGAAAAAAATTCAAACATATATCTTAAACTTTGAGCAATTCAATTACTTTGAACAATGAAAAAAGCCTAAAAAAATCAATTAATATGGAATAGAGAGAGTAAGACCATCTTCAACCCACCTCTATTTTACTCTCCATTCTCTATATTTGGAGAGTAAAATAGAGAATAGGCACTCCAATCCATCTTTATTTTAGACTCTATTCTTCATTTTTAGAGAGTTGAATAGTGATTCTCCAAATTTGGAGAACTACTATTCACACTCTCTATTTCACTTTTTCAGTATTTTATTATTATTTCTATTATTTTCTAATTAACACATTATTTTACATATACTGTCAATAATTAAATAACTAATATTCATAATTCTTTTTAAATGTAATATAATATTTTTTTAAAAAATATTATTTAATATATACTACTTTCATCCCGAATAAAATATTTTATTTATTTTCTAATTTTCGTCAATAATATAATTTTATTTTATTATTAATTTTCACTATAAAAAATGCACAAAATTAAAATGATAAGATGAAAATTTTAATTTAAAAATACAATACATAACTTAATAATTTAAATACAAGATAAAGCACAATACAATACATAACATAATAATTAATTTATCACAACAATCATTTAGTAATCCGGTAGGTCGTTTCACAATTTAGCACTATTCGGAAAAAAATTAGGATATGATGGTAGATGAAAATCTCCAATTTGAACAATTTTTAGCTAGACATAAAAAAATTAAGGACAAAAATACTAATTTTGAACTCCGTAATGCATTAATAGAATATTTATGGGAGCAATGTAATAATTTTGAAAGTTGAGTGTTTATGTAATTGCATTTCACTTTTATTTGAATTTATTCATTAATTTGTATATTATATAATATTTTCTTGTAATATATGTTATTTAGAAATTTAAAATAAAATATAATTTTATATTAAATAAAAAATTTGAAAAATAAAATTTTATATCACATGAAAATTATATAAAGTAATTATTTGGGAAAAAGAAAGAAATGATTTATATTATGAAATAAGAAAATAAGAATGAAATAGAAATAATAATACAATATTGAGGAGAGAGAAAAAATAAATTTTAGAGAGTAAAATAGAAAATTGGGTTGAAGTTGGTTGTCTGGAAAAATTGAGAACTCTAAGTTATAGATATTTGTGCTGCTAGAAATCATTTCATTGAGGGTAAAATAAATATTTTAAAGTTAATATGTTATTAATATTAAATATAAAAATGTGTAATTAGTAACTAAAAATGAAAGGAAATCATATAAGTGAGATTGAGAGAGTACTAAATAAAAAATGTGACATTCTTTTTGGCCCGATGGAAAAAAAGAGTAAAGTTATGTTTATTGAGAGGGAGGTAGTGTATAATTCAGAGGCTTGATTTAATGTTTTGTTTTCCCCCTTGAAATGAATATAGTTCCATATAGTGAGACTGAGAGTGTACTAATTTAACAGGTTTAACTAGAGAAATGCAACTCATAGAAACAAAAGTAGGATATCTACACTTCAAAATATGATATTTGAAATCTCGAAATCAAGCTATGTAACACATGTTATGGTGTAGAAAATTACTTACACTACCAATATATTTTATTTATACTCAATCAAAATTAGTACTCCTTCCAAGTTCCATCAGTATATATTATTTATACTCGATCAAAATTAGTACTCCTTCCATCAGTATATATTATTTATACTCAATCAAAATTAGTACTCCTTCCGTCTCAATTTATGTAATGCCATTTGATTAAGCACAACGGATTTTGAAATTCTTACTCTATAAACCTTGGATATTTGTGTTAAAAATAAAATTCCCTCACGAAGGAAAATTGTCAATTTGATTTTTAAAATGTAATGCATTATGCTACAAATGGATAGAACAATAGGGAATAACATCTTCTTACTTATTATCAATGAAGTAAATTTTACAAAAATATTGTAATACAAGAATATAGGAATTGAATCTCATATCAAACATATTCAACTTAATAAAGTTCAGACTTTACACCTCAATTGGATTACTATATTACACTCTGTCACACTTATCGAGTTAGACGAAGGCAGGTTATCTCGAGCTACAAAGAACAGTACCAACAGACTAAGACAGCATTGAGTGCTGATAGCTTGTAGTGAACAGCCCCATTATGAAACCAACCGTAAACAGCCTTTGGTACTTAAGTAGTTAAGGTTTGGAACCCTTGCAACTATGATAGAATAGCAGAACTTGAACATAATGCATCAACTATCAAGATCATTCTCATCAAAATCAGAAAGGAAAGGATCCTTCAACAATTCAGCTGCAGAGGGTCTTGCTCTTGGCCGCCCAACGCATCTTTCAATGAAGGCCTTTAACTCAGGATCGCTCACCCTGTTAAAAGCTTGAGGCTTTTTCCCAGAAGTTACTATCTTGTATAGTTTTGCTAAACTGTCACATTCACTGTAAGGTATCTCCAGAGTAGCCATTTCAATCAAACACATCCCAAACGAGTATACATCTACCAACTCTGTGTAGTTCTCTTCATAAAGCTCTGGTGCCATATACTCTGGCGTCCCTAGTACAGAATGTGCTGCATGGCTCTTCCCCACAATTGTTGCCAAACCAAGATCACCGATCTTTACCTGTGTAACATGATAACCAGGATGTTTAAGGTCGACCAATCAAAAAGTATTGTATTTTTTTAGATGAACATCTGAAGCTCACGAGTAACTACCTTAGAAATTCTTTTTATAAATAAACAAACACGTCCAAATGTACTTTAGTGCCTAAGTTTTCATTTCTTTTTAATCCTAACAGAGCCCGTAGACTCTTGATTATACACAAAGTGAGATGAATTACCCACAGATTTTATGTTAGTGAATATGGTTTCTAACTTCACCGGCTTCTCCACTATGACAGTCGGGGGGGGGGGGGGGGGGGGGGGAGGGGGGCATAGTTTATGTCTACCCCGATTAACCCACTCAGCTAAACATAGGATTTAAGTTCCACAAGCTTTCTCTAATTATACTAAGCACCAAAGAGTAAAGGATATGTAACCGAGATAAAACCTGTCATTTCCCTGAATATGTCGACAAAGTAAATGACACGAATTTTGCACCTTTAGAATCATAAGAAAGAAGAAGGAACAGGTTCATTTGTAATGTGCAGCATTAGGTAGGATTTTTGACACAAGTTTATGTCTATAGTAGAGAAATAGTAAGCCAGTATCGACTGAGTTCATACCTTTCCAACATTTCCATTGATAAAGATGTTACTGCAATTGAGGTCTCTATGAATAACACAAGGATTGTGAGTATGGAGAAAATCCAAGCCCTGTAATATCTGTCTTGACCACTTCTTCAAGGCCTTGATTGAAACATGACGATGTTTCTTTCTATATTCCCTCAAATTACCAGAGGCACACGCCTCAGTTATGAAATTCAGAATGTTACAGTCAGTGTCTTTCCAGAAATGGTACATGACAATGATGTTGTCATTCTTCAAATTCTTCAGCAACTCGATTTCAGAATGGATCTTACTGATGATGAAAGGACTGCCACTGAATTTGTTCAATCTAATCTGATTCCACGCCACTTCTCTGCCTTCCTCAAGATCAAATGCCCTATACACCATCTTCACTGCACCATGGCCAAGAAGCTCCTCGTATCGTCCAAACCTCCCAGATGGATCAACCTCAGCAAATAGTTCATTTTCTTGATCAGTTGCATCAGGATTTGCAGTAGGCATACTTAGTTCTGTAAGAGTAAACAGAAGAAGCGTAAACATTTAGAAGATTCATCAGAGAAAATAATCACACAATGTCTATTTCAACAATAGGACTAGGAGGTGGAAAGTGGGCAGGTCAAGACTATAAACAGGTCACAACCCAACCCGCCCAAAATTTATTTCGGTCAAAATGTGTAAAATAACGGGTTATAACCTAATCCGCACAATATAACCTAAACATCCACTC